GGTGAAGTGAATAACACTGATTATCTCTTCATCACGGCACCTGTTAGTGGGTGGGATATATTAGGCAGCAAGTGAACATTTTGTCCTCAAAGTTGATGTGTTAGAAGCAGAAAAAAATGGGCAAGCGTAAGGATTTGAGCAAGTTTGATAAGGGTCTAATTGTCTAATTGTGGTCCAAATTATGATGGTTAGACGACTGGGTCAGAGCATCTCCAAAACTGCAGCTCTTGTGAGGTGTCCCGGGTCTGCAGTGGTAGTATCTATCAAAAGTGGTCCAAGGAAGGAACAGTGGTAACCGGCGACAGAGTCATGGGCGACCAAGGCTCATTGCTGCACGTGGGGAGCGAAGGCTGGCCCGTGTGGTCCGATCCAACAGACTCAAGATCAAACTGCTCAAGAAGTTAATGCTGGTTCTGATGGAAAGGTGTCAGAATACACAGTGCATCACAGTTTGTTGTGTATGGGGCTGCATAGCCGCAGACCAGTCAGGGTGCCCATGCTGACCCCTGTCCACTAACGAAAGTGCCAACAGTGGGCACGTGAGCATCAGAACTGGACCACAGAGCAATGGAAGAAGGTGGTCTGGTCTGATGAATCACGTTTTCTTTTACATCATGTGGATGGCTGGCTGCGTGTGTGTCGCTATGGGAAGAAGGCAAGCCGGCGGAGGCAGTGTGATGCTTTGGGCAATGTTCTGCTGGGAAACCTTGGGTCCTGCATCCATGTGGATGTTACTTTGACACGTACCACCTACCTAAGCATTGTTGCAGACCATGTACACCCTTTCATGGAAACGGTATTCCCTGGTGGCTGTGGCCTCTTTCAGTCTCAAACAAACACTCAAACTATCCTCCTCACCATGCGTTAAGAAAATATGGACATTATACTTACCCATATGTCACGTTTCCAGACATGTAAAGGTCGGTGCTTTGAACTGCTATTCTGACTCCAGTTCCAGAAACAAACTTCTGCTTTGATTCAAAATTTCCTAATTGAATCTTCATTCTGTCAAGAACAAAAATATTAGAGATTAACGAAGCATATGGCTTAATTTGGAAATCAATTACGTTTTATTTAGCAGGAGAACACTGTTGGAACACTGGTCTCACCCTTTCAAACTATACTCGACCTCTTCTGTACCAGAATGGTCTGGGATTTCCATCTTTATGAGCACCTGCTTAATAATATTGTTTACAGCTGCCAAAACAAACAAACAAACAAACTTTTGTATTGTATAAGCTTCAAGGTTTATTATGCCATGAAAGAAAAAAACTATCAGAGATGAGAATTTTCAATGAAAATTTACATAAGCATGATCTCTGTGTCCATGTAGTGTTTGAATGAGATTACTGAATAAAATATTAAGATTTTGTTCTATAACATCATTTTAACAAAGTCATGTTAGTCACTGTTTAAAAGCCAGATAATGATGGTCAGTCACAAAAGTGTTTACTTACAAAGTTCCCAAAGAAGTGCAAAAATAACACTGACAGACCTAGATAATATTGTAAAGCAACGCCTTTCTCCATTTATACTCATGAAAGATTTGAATAGTCAGAACTTTTAATGGGGTAGTAATCACTGAAACACAAGGAATGAGGAATGAAGATTTTTATAGAGAACAATCCCCTATGTTTACGAAATGATGGATCAAATACTTATTTACACCCAGGGCATGGGACATACTAAGAATGTATATACATATATATATACAGGACCTGAATTTCATTTTGAAAAATGGTTTAGGTGGCTCTTATGGGGGTTTAATTTGAGGGGGGGAGTTAAGGTATTTTTTAGACATATTTCTAAACTACAATCGTCTAACCTAAATGTTTCGTCACCCAGTGTATTTGTGTTTTTCAATTTATAATGTTGTTGTTGATTCATATTTATATTGTGAGGAACATACTTAAACATAACTTTGATTTCAAACTGAACTGAACTAATTTTAACTAAAAAAAGACAAGTAGACAGTCAGTAATAAAATAAGAATAGATAAATGACAAGCAATGGCACAAACAAATACAATAACTAGATACAAATAAAATGAACTGTGCTTTAAGTTTTTCAGGTAGGTATAACAGTAATATTCAGGTACAGAAATACCACAGAAACCGAATAATCTATTTAACTTTAAAATAACACTGTTTAGTCTATAATGTATAAATAAACATTAGGCTACGTTCACACTGCAGGCAAATGTGGCCCAAATCCGATTTTTTTTTTGCTCACATGTGACTCAGATCTGTTTTTGTCATGACAGTGTGAACAGCACAACCCGCATGGAATCTGATCTTTTCAATTCCGATTTGTGCCACTTCCATATGTGGTACTAAATCCGATACAGGTCAGATGTTTTGAAATGAGTTCGCAGTGTGAACAGTCATGTCGGATTTCATGCGACTTTTACGTCACTCTAGACACGTCATAATTCCGCGCTGACGGGAGACACTTCAAAGATTTTACATCCCCAAAGTTATCAAGACAGTTGTGAAAGGTAGTCAGTGGAAGTACAGTGATGTGTCAGAACTCATAAGTGTTATAGTGATAACTCCATATACAAGCAAAACATGAAGGCTCGTATCATAAAAAAGTTTCAGAACTCTGCTGTCTTTTGTGTTTATTTTTCTTATTGCCTGTGCATAATTTCGCTGGCTTCTGCAGCATATCACACTATAAATAAACGCATAATCGCTTACTTTATGTCCTCCGTGTTTACTTCCATATGACGGCACGCTGTGCATGTGTTGCCAAATCCACAGTTTCCCCGTGGAATTCGGCTACTTTTTCTACTGTTGCCGCGGGTTGTTTTTCAACTTCGTGGGTTGACGCGACCCCACTAACGCAATATTTACCCCCCTCTGAACATGGTTGGGCTAATTTTGGACTAGTTTTGAGAGTCAATTGGGCAGATTTTTTTGTGAAAACCTGGGCACCCTAATCGTATCGTTCTTTTCCGCATGCGGGTCAGTTTAGAACCATGATCTGTTCACACTGTAAATCTGAGATTGGCCACATTTATAACACAATGTGAACAGCTATACAAAAAAATCGGATCGGAGAAAAAATCGGAATTGAGCACTAAGGCTCGCGCTGCCTTAAGACAGCAGCAGGTTTATTTAGGTTGCTGTCTCTTTAAGACCTCATGCACGGATCTAACTGTTACACAAGTTTTGTTTCTCAGCTGTTTACATTCATTTAATAGCCTGTATACCGACAATGTTTAGTATAAATCGACTGTTTACGTGAATACTCATCAAGACAGGCATTTTGACATAATTTTGTATGTATTTGTCCGTTTACGCGCAATAAGGCGCAACACAACT